CGTCTTCCAGGTCAGGTGCTGGTCCACATGTACACCCAACAGCTTTGTACAGGAGATCCGTTTTGGTGGAGTATTGCCTCAGGCGACAGGAAGTTTTCGTTCTTCTAAAATATGATATCGCGCCATCTGTGGGATGGAGATAAGCATCCAGTTTGTCTTGGAAGAATTCAAGGCAAGGTTGCAACCCTTAGAGTAGCCCCTCAAGCTTGTAACAGCCTTATTTATGTGATACGCTGAAGAACCGAGATCACATGGTTTCAAGTGGATGTAAAGCATCGTATTGTCAGCATATTGATAACAGTCACACTGTAGCTCACTCTGGAGGTCGGTGACGTAGAGGTTGAGAATAACTGGACCCAGAATTGAGCCCTGAGGAACACCGAATTCCACTCTTGCCATATCTGACCTCCTGTCATCGATTTGCACCAGCTGTCTCCTTTGAGTTAGGTAGTCAATCATCCATAGTAAGAAGTATTTTGAGAACCCTAGGCTGTGCATCTTAGAAACCACTGACCTAAATCGGATGGTATCAAAGGCCTTGCTATAGTCTACGTTGTGTTACCTCCCCTCTGCTTGATGCCTGTGTTAGAGCATCGCAGATCCCCAGTAAAACAGTAGTTGTTGAATGACCTTTCCAGAATCCTGATACTGTAGGACTGAGAAGCGCTTCCTCATTGATGTAAACAATGAGATGGTTGAGCACCAAGTGCTCGAACACTTTAGATAGTGTTGGTAAAATCGAGACCGGATGGTTATCAACATCAAACAAGGGCTCATCAACTTTAGGAATAGGGGAGATTCGTGCTATCTTCCAGAGTCTAGGAAAACTTGATGTTGCAATACAATAGTTGATTATATGTGTCAAAGGACCCGGTATATGTACCTTGGCCAGTTTTACAAATTTCACTAGCATCTGATCTATACCAGTTGATGTATCAGAGCGGTGTTTATCGATCTTTCTCCACTTCTATTAGGGAGACACAGCACAGGTTAAAAGGATGTGAGGTCGGAGGACACTCCAAAAAAGAGTTCACAAGGTCTATTAGATCTGATCTTTTATCCAGTTTGGTACCTAGTGTTCTCTCATTTGTACTTAAGAAGAACGTGTTAAGTCTATCTGGATCAGCTTGTAGAGGCTTAGGACTAGGGTGGAGGTTGTGCATTAATAACAAATACCCCTTTAGACTTATTAATCACAGATTTAATCTTTTTGTGTACAGCTCTAAAAGCAACCCAGGAGTCATCATAACTATTCTCCTCATGAGCCTTGTAACGCAATGTATCTCACTCTGCTTGCAGCTTACATATCTCATCCGAGTTCATCTACGGTGCGGGTGGGTGTGCCACTTTAATCCTTTTAAAGGGTGCGTGTCTATCAATGCACTCCCCAAATAGGGTATTAAACCCTTGCACCATATCGTCTGGTGAATCTAAGCCGTATACAACTGACAGAGACAGGTTAGCACCAGTCTAATCCATTTGTACCGCAGCCGATAGCCAGGCACACGCACATTGACACTTGCAAATATACCCTCATGATCACTAATTGACCACCTCAGGATCACTAATTGACCACCCAGGTATTACATCCGTGTATTACATCCAGGTATTACATCCGTGTATTACATCCAGGTATTACATGTGAGGTTAAAGAGATGCTATAGGTGTTGGCTGTTGTCGGGGTGCTAGGAGAGTAGTGTCTCTTTTCTTGTGCATTGTTTTGATCAAGCTTTTCCTTTGGTTGAGGCTTGCCATCTTTAACAGTGGGCTCATTTCTGTGTAGAAGGGTGCTGTGTCTTTTACTGCACTCCTTAGGTAGATTTGGATGAGCAGTTGCATAAGAAATGACTTAATTTTGCACATCTAAAACATAAACCTTTGGACACGATGATGTGTCTCTCAATGGGGGAGGGGGGAAGGGTGTTCACGATCTTGTGGCATTTCACAGCTGAGTGGTTGCCTTCGCATACTGGACATGGTGTTACCTGAGGTGGCGGAGCCACAGTTCTGCTAGTTTCTCCTGGTTTTTGTCACAGATGAAAAGAAAGCCTGACCCGTGTGGGTTTTACTTCACCGTTTTGGTCTTGTAACATGAACAGGCTGCTCATTTGTGTCAGTAACTTTGCTACTTTCTCTCTTGAGGGCATCAGGAGATAATACAGGATCATTAGCAACCTCGGTTTCATGTGTGACAAACTGCATGAAATCTTTGAATCGGATAGGGTTCTGACATCTTGCTTGTTCTTCATTGACAAACCTGCACCAATTGATGCCCCAGTGGTAGGGAAGGTTCGCTAACAGAGTTGCTAGTATTTGGCTAGAATCAAGCTCAACCATCAACTTCAAAGCTTTCATCACTTCCTGAAAGCATACCAAAAAATCAGAAAACCCTTGCAGCCCTTTGGAATCACCATCGTTTAAATTTGGCCAGTTCCGTAAATTTGACTTGTAGTTTTCGGCTACCACCATAGGGTTCTCATAATGCTGCTCCAATAGTTTGTTGGTTATAAGCGATGTCAGAGGTTGTGGCTAGAGATCCTTTTATCTCCTCATTAGCACTTCTGTCTGTGTATTTCTCTAAGAAAAATAGCTGATCCTTATCTGTGTGAACTTTGTTTGCGATAATTGAATCAAATGCCGTGATGAAAGCAGGATACTCAAAGCTGTCACCCGAGAATACTTGTGCTTCTTTCATTGGCAAATGAGCTGCTCTTTATTGATTGATGAGGAGTGAGCTCAATTGCGTTTGTTTTGCTTGCAAACTTACAAAATGGCTGAGAGTGGCTCCGATGTCTAATGACGGATACGGCTGGTTTTGCGATGTGTTGAAAGCTGCTATTCAACAAAAGGGTGTATGTTTGGATTAAGTTACTTGCTTATCTGCTTGACCTCACGCTCTTTTAATTGATCCTTTATTTCCGTTTTCACATCTTCGTTTTTAACCTCATCCTAAATCTTGTCTTTATCATTATTCTTTTCATCAGGGTCAATCAATGGTTTCTGGCTGGCTCTTTGTTACGTTTTCTTCTGGCTCGGCAAGGTAGATTTCTTGTAATATGTGTAATTTTCACATTTTGTGTTCCTGCTCCAAAAACTGCTTTTCGACTTTGAATTTGCCTTTTCTTGGCTCTGCTTCTAATCTTTGTGACCTAGCCAACGTTCCAGAGGTGTTCGATTTTTTCAATTTCTTTCTGCTGCCTGATAAGACGGACTTAGGTTTTATTCTCCAGCTTTCCTTGCTACAGACTATATTTTCTCAACAAGCTGGATGTGTAATTCTGTTGTTACTCTGTCTCGCACATCAAACCATTGGTAAGCAGATTCCTTGTGTCAGTAAACTCATCCTTTAATTTAATGAGGTCATCGCGTGCAAGCTGCAAGGACACCCACGGCGGTTCACTGCAGTTTGAAAGTTCTCGAATCCTATCAACGTGTTTTTTCAGTTTGGACTGCATGTTCTTTGTCTTTCTTTCGCTCCTTCAACAAGTTCATCATCATTCATACCAGTTACTTCAATTTCCGATTTTGTACTCATTCTACATGAGACTTAGGAGGGGTAACAGCGATATTTTACTGTAATGAGTGACACCCTGGGACTCTAGGAGAAGCCAATTGTCACGCAGCTAACTACTTGTGGCGATGAATCTTCGTGTGAGCTGGTATATTTTACTAGTCAACTATGAATCAACTGTGACCACGAAACTAGGAGCTAGTCCTTGATTGTGATT